ACATTTAACAGCATTTCAACACAAATTAAACAATAAATTTTCCAGTCTTTGTTCTAGACTATTCATTTCTAACATTAATATGCTAATGATGAAATATGCAATACCTTTGAAGAAAGGTCTTGCTTGTAGTAAACAGAAGGACTTACAGTCCAATATGTATTTCTGCAACAATAGACTAAAACTTCTGTAATCTAAGCATTACAACATTGAACTTTCTTTTTATGGTCAGCCTCTGTGGTAGGAGATACAGTAATAGTCTGCACGTTGTTACTTGGTTGGTTTCCATCTGAACCTGGGGAATCGTGGATTTGCTTTTGGGATACAATGTGGTAGATTTCTGAACGATAAAAATATATAAATATCATAATTAAATAATATTGACAAATTGTTGACTCTAGGAACTTCAACATGTTCAAGATAAAGTTGCAGGCTAATGGCTGATTGAGAATTGTATGTAGTGATCACATTATCCACAAACACCACTTGCATTTTATCAAGTTTCAGATATGAACAAAACACCTGCTGTAAAGTTAAAAAACCTCATTACTGCATGTCTGTTACAAAGCCTTAGCATTAAACATTGTAAACTTAAAGCAATGTACAAGTTACAAATACAACAGCTGTATGTTCAAAGTACTAAATTTGTAATGGTCAATATAGTAAACATGGCTACATTTAGGACCACACAATCACTCTATCACACATTACAAATAAAGAAACTGCCAACATATTGGAAGCCAAAGAGAGACAAAAATATGAAACAAGATGTCATTGACTGGGTTGAAGATAAAACTTAGCTTTCAATTGATAAATGTATCAAATTTGATCACTTTAAGCACTTTGTCCGTCAACTATACTGACCTGTTAGAATATTGTGAAATGCCACCTCCACATTTGTTGAATCTAGCGCTGATGTTTCAATAAATGAAAGACCATTTTTTTCTAAAAGTAGTCAAAAAGATAATCATAATTAATGATTACTTTTACCATAAAATTTACATGTAACAGCATCACACACGATGTTCATGTACATTAATGATAATCAATTGCTACAACTACATGTACAGCACAATGTACAGTTAAACTTATTTTATGCTGATAAAAACTAGAGAAGCCAAATTACATTCAAGATAGTGCCTGCTAGATTGCTCATGCACAGTGTTCATGAGATATGGCCAACACTGCCACAATGATAAACAATGTTAACAAACAAGTCAAATTTACAAGCACCATAAATGTACAAAAAAATAAATTATCAGGCAAAAATACAGTTTGAAAATGTTGCACTCAATTTCTGATCTCACCCAACTCTTGATTTCAGTTATATGTGGTCTGCTTTCTGCAGGTTAGTTAATTCTTTTTTTCAATTTATCTCTAGTCCACACTTATTACCAAAAGTGGCAAGAAAAGTACAGTCAAACCCCTATTAAGGTGGCTCCCTACAGTTTTACAATCAAAGGTACGCTGAGGACTAAAGTTTTAGTAATCTGGCACACTAAAAAAAAAGGTCTACGTTTTTTCAATAGTTTATGATGTCAACATGAGCACAAAAAACAAAACTGAAAGTGAATTTTCTTGAATTTCCTTCCGTGAAATTCCACAAAATTTGGCAGACTGGTAATGAATATTTTGCTTTAGTTGGAGTTCATTTTTCAGGGAAATCTATCAGACCAGTTTTTCCAGAGCAGCAAAAGACATAAATCTGCAAAACATCTAAAAAACTGCCTTACAAACCCTACATTTTTGGAAGTTTAAAATTCTTATCCTGCCATACTCGATGTACTTTGAAAATTTTGGAAGATTTTACCAAACAAAATTCAAGAAAATTGCAAATAAAGCCATACAAATGGTAAAAAAAACATTTGTTTGGGTATTTGTAATTCAACACTAAATGCCTAGATTTAAAAAATAGTGAAACACTATTTCATCAGTGCTTATTACATTTGATAAGTTTGACAGGACTGTTGTTGGTCATCCCACAGGGGATTTTCTTTCTTCTTTACCCCTATCTAGTTTTGGAAAAGGCCACGGCAGATGAGAGTCTGATAAAGAAAGTCACCACAAACACTCATACACAGGTTTATCATTGTATTCACATGATTCCATGTTGCCATAAAACATGCTTGTATTTGAATAAATTGATGTTTCTACTAGACTTCATGCTGATTCCTGACAAAGCCCTATTTACAGTAGCAGCCAACCTCAATTAAGAGGCCCCCTTCCATTTCCCCAAGGGTGGCCAGTTAATAAGGGTTCGACTGTTACTCAAAAGAAAAAGAACCACATGAAATCAAAATTTAACTGAGATCTAAAATTAACTACAACATATAAACTGTACCAAAGAAGCGATTATAACTTCCTCGATTTCACCTCAAAACTAGATATTAAGATTTCCTATTTTAACTTTGATTAAGCTGTTGCCAATCAATTTCACATGCCTGGTAAAAGATAAAATGATGAATTACTTATTGACTTAGTTGGTATTTTGGAAAAATTCATTTCCAGTTTTTCAATTCTCAGAAAAAAATAATCAAGAACCACAGATTTGAGTAGACTAAAGCTTTAGGATTCTTCAAATCAGTGCTGAATTACACCATTTCAGTGAACAGCTACCAAAAACAAATAAATGTTAGGAAGATACAACATCAAATCTAAATACCAGGATTGAAATTCTATACACATACCTGCGAATGCTTTTGCCTCATCTGTTGGAACAGCTCTAAGATGGCGAAGATCACTTTTGTTACCCACAAGCATTATAACAATGTTACTATCAGCATGATCCCGAAGTTCCTTCAGCCACCTTTCCACATTTTCGTATGTCAAGTGCTTAGCAATATCATAAACCAGAAGGGCACCTACAGCTCCCCTGTAATACCTGTTATATATTACAACAAAATGAAAAAGATCATCACAAGTCCAAATGGGAAAAAAAAAAGCTCTGTTGTTATTTAGCTGGAGTTCAGTTGAATCTAACGCACATTCTGGTTGATTTATGGTCATGTAGCAATGGCTTAATCTCAAAGTCTTAATCGTAAAGTCACCCCACAAGTGACAATTAAGCAAGTGTAACCTGCTCTCCCGCTAACCAGAGGTTACTTGGACTTGGGGATGCCCTTCTTCCCTTAATATTCCCTTAATACTCTACACTAAGATCTATGTATAATAACTGTTTCCCTAGGGACCAGTTATTACGCACATATTATCACATGCACGTAAGTATTTTTTGTCATCATTGCCCAAGGCCTTGTTGTTAACTTATCAAATAAGAATGCACCAAAATTGATTTTCATGTACAAAGGACAATCTGAAAAAAACAGACTCTTCTCTGATCTTTGGTTTCAAAAGGTCAAAGTACTAAATAATTACATCACCACAAAGCAGACATGAAGTATGTTGTTGTTTCAATTTGTTTTTGGCTTGAAATTCTATAAACCAAGCACCAGTTGTTCGAAGGCTGGATAATGTTATCCGCCAATTAAATCACTATCCAGTGCATAAGTGTTAACAAAACAAACCACACTTTCCACTGCATAGTGATTTATCTGGTGGATAGTGTTTTCCACCTTTCAAACAACCTGGGCCAGTTGGATTGCCATGTTCCTGTTTTTCACATGGAAATGGCATACACTTGTGCATAAATCCAAAAATAATTATCTAATAATCTCAAACCCAAAAACAAATGAAAATTTATATTTGCATTTGAAGTAAAGAGCACTTGACATGTAGTTGGATTAGATGAAAGCTTGATCAAGTATTCTTCATTCCCATTAAAAGTTTGGTTGAATCACAGCTGACTGTCACAAAGTTTTGAAGTAGGCAGCTTTATTGTTGGATTAAAGAGCTGATTGTGTCATCTTTTTTCTAAAAAATTAGAAAACTAGCTCAAAAGAGAAGCTGGCTGAGCTCAAGAAGTAGATGGTGATTTTCAGTGGCAGTTGGCTACTTTTGACAGCCCTGCAGCCTAATAGATTTTAATTGTCAGAAACAAAATGGTTCCTAAATACAGCTGCATGTCATTTTCAACAGTGCCCAATATCAATATCACATCCTTTACCTGTGGAGCAAATTTTGGCAACAATAAAAAAACTGTCAACCAAAGTTCCACATAGCATGCAATATATTGGATCAAATGCAAACTTTTTAATCACATAAACTTACATGTACATGTATTCACAAGCTACACTGACATGATTCTTACAAGCAAGAAATACTTCATTGACAGGCAAGAAATATTGATTAGGTCTGTATAGGTCTATATAGCTGTAGCTTTTACTGTAGAATTATTAAATTTGAAAATACACTCACATTGTGCATGTATTTTAACACATTTCAAATTATGATACCAAGAAATTGTGGAGGGACAAGTAAAAATGTATAACCAGTTATGAATATGCACAACCACCATATTCTAACATGCTCTTCGTCCATTAAACACTTCAAATAATTATTATGATACATTCCATAATGAAGCATAAATTTGGTTGACAATAATGACAGTTAACCTTCTCACTTCATAATGACAATTACATGTGAAGTTAAGACATACGATTAAAACTTACGCGCTTGTTATGGCTCTGTATCGTTCTTGCCCAGCTATGAAACAAAGTGTGAAAAGTGAAACGAATAAATGTTACCATTTCGTGATCGATATTGAACACTTGCACAAAGGCAGTTTCAACGAGATCAAAGAAATCTGTACATTACACTACATGTATTTTGCCGTATAAAAATGACACCGCTTTACGCCCAGGCTTTTTACAAAATGATGCATTGCCCTTATTTCTGGGTTTAAATCTTGCGGAAAACCAAAGCTACCAATGGCTTCCGGGAGGAGCTATGAAACAACTCCCCCTTGCGCCTTGGAAAGTTACACCAGTTCAAAAGATCGACCGAACTCACAAGCACAAACAAACGAACAACTGGTACACAAAATGCCAATGTCGTCTCACCAGTGTCCCAGATTTGGGCCTTGATAGTTTTTCCATCAACTTGTATACTTCTGGTAGCAAATTCTACACCAATTGTGGACTTGGACTCCAAATTAAATTCGTTTCTCGTGAACCGAGACAGCAAATTTGACTTTCCAACACCAGAGTCGCCTATGAGAACAACTGTTAAGAACGAACCACAACATTAGTCATATTAGTCTACAACTGAAGAAATATTCCAGCCGAAAGCATAAACATTACTTATTACGTCAATACCTTTAAAAAGATAGTCGTATTCATCATCCTTCGTCCCCATTGCGGTAAATTTCAGTTAATCCTAGATAAATAATACGTCTTTCAAATCCTGCGTCTCTTATCACGGCCTCCTGCTCCGAATATTTTTTGGCAGCCCAAAATAGCTGGATGAGATTGAAAAGAAGACAATCACAAGGCTTGATGGCGAAAAAATCAAGAACGAAACCAGAGGATGACAGGGATTTTCGATAGATTGCAGTTTACACTAACGGGCGGAAGCGATACAAAATGGCCGCCCTTTAGGACTCGGCTTATGCTTCCAAATTTGGAAATGATGTAAGCGCCTGGGAACGAGTCTCGTTGTCATGTCTCACGAAGTTTTTTTCCGGCTTCATTTTTAATGTCACGCCAGTAGTCACGCCAGTACGCTTTCCACGGAAAAACAACCGAACGTTACTTCTAAATTTAATCACCTCAAGCAAGAATAATTTTCCCTAGTATAATTGAGAATTCCGTGGGGAAAAACTATGAAAACGAACTTAGAAAAGCGAAAATAATGATTCGGTGTGAGTTGTTTTACTTGATCGCTGACTATAGATATCATGACAGATATTTTAAACATAGTTCTTTCTTCTTCTTTAACAAGAAGTTCGCATCATTCATCATTCACCCGGTACCTATATAAATGCTCGCAAGTGAAGCTCAGGTTCCTCGCAAGGGCACTCCACGCATCGATTTGCACGTACTTGGGAGGCTGTGTGGAGGACGCCTGGGGGTGGGGTGGGGGTGGGGTGGTTAACTTCCGGTTTCAAGCACGAAGTTTAACAAAATTCACGTGTCACGTATACTTTTAGAGGCGTTTAAAAATGGCTTTTCATAAATTCACGAACCACGTAAGTCTTTTACTTGCTTTTCACACGTCACACACTCATTTTCGCCCTCATCGGGTGTGTCACGCACAAAGGCTTAGCCATGGTCTTTGTGAGCAGCCTTGCTGTCTAAAATTTAAGGTGACTGGAAACAGCTTCCAGAATTTTTCAGCATTTCTACTGTGATGGATGAATGCTTTTTCCCATTTTCAGTTACCATTACAAAAGACATTTTCTTCACGTTACAAGTTGCCATAGCAACGGTCTAAACTATCAAAAACACCCTAAATTTTATTATCCGAGCTTGTTGACCTACAGTTTGTATTACCAAATTTTTATCAGCGCCAGTCATGGTTCAACTTTAAACAAGTTTCAAACAGTTGTGGGGACCCATGCATTGGTTTGATGCCAGTATTTATCGACTATTATACCAGTAATGTCAACGATTAACTGAAAGGGAGCGGAAGTATTTCGATTCAGCAGGAGGTGTTGAAGAATTTTTGAAACCGTATTGAGCCACCATACCTCAATACACAACTGGTAAACAAAGTTATAGTAATTATCGAGTTTTCATGCCACAAGTCCCTATGTTATGGTAAACGGACTGCACCTTATATTGACCGTGGAGAGTAGGCGAGCAGGCAACACTGCCCTGAGGTTTCGGTTGGGTGTCTACCCTAAGGTGGTACTTCAAATCAATCTCTCCTCCGCAGAGACAAGGAGCCCATGGATTCCTGCAGAGACTCGTTCGTCATAGAAATCCGCCGTGCGAGGTATTGCAGTTGCAAACCCATTCCCATCAGCGCCCCCTCCCCTCCCCCAAAAAAAAATAACGATGAAAAACCAAACTTAGCAAATGAATAATCTAAATCTATTCATGCTTAATTGATGCACAATATCAGATCTAGTCACATGAACATCTCGAGTTTACGATAATGAGTGTAACTCATTTCGCGATTTCTTCTCTATAGACAGCCACAGGGATTATTTGATCAGAAAATCTGAGAGTCGCTGCCTGACAACAAGAAATATTTTCGTTCGCCAGTGCAAATCAGTTTTAAATAGTTGATTCAATCAGTTATTACTAAAGGATGGAAGTATTTTCACTTCCGTTTTATGTTATAGTTACAGGAAGTTACGGTGACGTAATGGCTTGTTTACGATGAATGCAAATTTCCCGCTAAAAAAAATTTCTCGGTAAAACCAGAGGCAGTTTGCAAGACCGGTGATATATTTTTGGCGGTTTGACTACAGAAGGCTCCTGACCCAGCATAGAACAGCCGTTTTAAAAGGCGAAAATGGGGATTTTCTCCGGAATACAGCACGCTTTTATTGTCCTAATTTTCGTGTTTGATCTGGGAAGAAATGAGCTGTATCCATCTATCCAATGGACTCCTCTCAACCCAATGTAAGTACGATCCAGGCAAAGGGTTTGATTTTTTCTCTTAACCTTACAAAACCTTTCAAATCGTAAAGAGAGGTCGTTAAACGTGTCTAGAGTCTGTCTATCGGTTCGAAAGCCTAAGTCGGCGATGAAGATATTATACTCACGCTACACTCGATTGCAAGTGATAAACGGAAACAAAAGTTCTCCTTCTCCGATCCTATACAACGAGAAAATGAAATTTTTGTAGAACGTTTTATTTATACTGAACAACAAAAATGATTATTACTATTGCAAAAATGCTAAATACGAATCAAGGGGAAAGAAGAATATTTAATGATTGGAACTTGCAGTTACGTTTCTCAACTGCGAGGTACGCTTAGGCGTCACACTCTCAAGACGTGATCGTTTTTCTCTCCTGGCCGTGAGTCAAGTCGCTCTTAGTTTGAGCTCCCTGATCAATAACCTGTTTTCTTTAGTATGTCTTGTCCTCTTTTGCAGTGTCTCTTGCTTAATGAAAACAGAGGGCCTTAATTAATTTGCAGTGTTGCCGAGAAGTATACCAGCTTGTTTTGCATGAACGGAAGGAGAAATTTCAATTTCACTTTTCAACTTGAGTGTTTATTTTTGAATGTTTACTTCTTTGTAATAGCTTTACGGACTTGTCGCGTACCCACTGATCTGATGTAACGGCCCTCACACAGTAAAACTAGGCCAACCTCAAGCTAGGAGATAGCATTTGAAAATTTCCCTCTGGTCACGAGACTCTTAAGTGAAGTATAGGCTTGAGCAATTTTCTTTCTTGTCAATGCGTTCACACCCTTTCCGCTTTGTCAGTATTATATTGGCGGAAGTGCTGGGTAGATTTCCCGTTTCGTCTGAAGAACGTAACCTACTGTTTTATTGCGATTGAACCTGCCATTTTTGAGAGTTAATAATTTAAAATGCTTGTCTTGCAAAGAAAATGAATTTAGCCCGCTGATAGAATTCCCGGTGTGCAATTACTTCGTTGAGATACTGACTATCAGTTCGGATTTTTTTTTTACTTAAAAATGCAGAAATTCAGGCGTATGTTTATCCAAAATCCAATAATAAAGTCATCAAGTTCTTGGCCCTACAGAACAAAGTGTTTAAATATGCTTCATGGACTGGTTGAATATTGATTGGAGAAAACCTTTCTCCTTGTGTTTTCCTATCTTTCTCAAAGCCTCAAGCCTNGAGAAGTATACCAGCTTGTTTTGCATGAACGGAAGGAGAAATTTCAATTTCACTTTTCAACTTGAGTGTTTATTTTTGAATGTTTACTTCTTTGTAATAGCTTTACGGACTTGTCGCGTATCCACTGATCTGATGTAACGGCACTCGCACAGTTAAACTAGGCCCACCTCAAGCTAGGAGATAACATTTGAAAATTTCCTTCTAGTCACGAGACTCTTAAGTGAAGTATAGGCTTGAGCAATTTTCTTTCTTGTCAATGCGTTCACGCCCTTTCTGCTTTGTCCGCATTATATTGGCGGAAGTGCTGAGTAGATTTCCCGTTTCGTCTGAAGAACGTAACCTACTGTTTTATTGCGATTGAACCTGCCATTTTCGAGAGTTAATAATTTAAAATGCTTGTCTCTTAAAGAAAATGAATTTAGCCAGACGACAGAATTCCCGGTGTGCAATTATTTCGTTGAGATACTAACTATCAGTTCGGATTTTTATTTTCACTTAAAAATGCACAAATTCAGGCGTATGTTTATCCAAACTCCAATCATAAAGTCATCAAGTTCTTGGCCCTACAGAACAGAGTGTTTAAATATGCTTCATGAACTGGTTGAATATTGATTGGAGAAAACCTTTCTCCTTGTGTTTTCCTATCTTTCTCAAAGCCTCAAGCCTACGTCCGTCAAACAACGGCTTCACGAATTAAAGAACTTAAATCATATTTATTAACTACAGGGATTTGGAGAAGGTTTCCGCATTTTATAATATTGTGTGAAAGTGTTCGCCGGGTTTCTGGCAATTTTCTATTGTTATTTTTTTATCATTACGTCATCGTTTATGATATCGAAACTGCCATTAACGAAAGAACCCAAACTGTCAAACAAGCAGTCTTTGAGTCCTTCAGTACTGGCTAATGATAAAAATTCGATGATGAATGTATTTCATGGAGATTTCATTTTAATTTTCGCAAAACTCAGAAACCATGATTATTTAAATATTGCAACCTAATTTTATTTTGTGTTTATTCATCACCCGTTGTTCCTGTCTGGCAACTCATGTTTGTATCCTGGAAATTATTTTCTGTTTTTCGTATTTTCATTTTGAACCTTTGTAATAAATCATTGACGAAATTTCAGATTAGGAAAAAAAAAGCATCAACCCCGAAATAAGCACTAATTCCATCTTTCATCTTGCCTGGAGGTAAAGTTAGTACAAGTGAACACAACAGCGGGTTGACATCACGTGACTTTGTATAACAAATAAGTGCGAATGTTGTGATATTTATATTTTAGCAGCTGTCAAGCTGGTGACGAGTTCTTACGGTTGCTAAGAAAACATATTTTGATTCTTTCCAATTTGGACAAGAGATAATCGTTTAGTAATTATACTGAAATTATATTGAAATACTGAAATTTACCTCAATAGCTAATAGCAGTCATAGGGAAGAAGACAAGATCTGTTATGGCGACTTCCCGACTGGGGGTAGCGAAGGAGGTGTTTCCATCAGTCCCCCCCTCCCCCGCCACGTTTTTGTACTACAAATTGTAATTCCGTTGCCCCGCATACGGTAACATGAACAAGTAACCGGTGTAAAATTGACAACCGGTTGAGCCAATTACCCGAGTTTCTTTTAGTATGAGAAAGATGCCTCATAATTGTAAACGTCCAAACTACTAGGTACAACAGTTTATTGATATATGGAGAAGACATGTCGGTCGTTGGAGCATCATTTGAATTTTTTGAAGTGTGAATGGGAAATGTACTTCTTTCGATGAGCTATTGAAATTTCTATTGAAACTAGCAGATAACATTAATATAATCATAATAATCTACAAGCGTCTTGTGCATGGAACAACCAGTGCAGCTGGCGAATTGTTTTTTCAGTTTAGTTTCAAGGAAGCTAACTGAAAGAACTATCGGACTAATTCACTGATTTGATATTTTTCATTGACATCTCTAGATTCAAGACAAACAGAACACAATGCGTCCATCCAATGTCTAAGCTCATCTTCGTGTGCCCGAACACCGCTACCACGGTAACCAAACTCGCTAGCAGTAATGCCCTGCGTCCACTGTACGAGAATCTGTGGCTGGTCAGCAGACAGAGTTATGAGCGCTGCGCGGTGAATCAGACAACTGACAGTGAACTTATATTATGTGACAAGCCCTTCAACCTTAAATATTATACGGTGATTTTTAAGAAATATAGTGCAGGCGTCGATCTCAAATTTGAGCCTGGAAAGGAGTACTATTTTATAGGTAAGAAAAATCAACTGATTGATTCAACTTTCAGCATTCCTTTCTTACCATCTCCCCTTCCGTCGTTAACAGAGCACTTGACACTTAATAAAGGCGAGGGATGAAGCGGAGGGGGGTACCTCACATTACAGTTTAAGTCTCGGCGTTTCAGTTTATTGGCTAGCTTGATGACGGTCAATTGCAAATTACATTACTTGGGATCCCATAGATATTTCTGCGCGTTGAATCAAAGCTAGCTTTCTCCGGCTGACAAAGGTGTTCGTTCAATGACTTATAATTCTCTTTGCAATCTTACTCTGGCTTCGCTAGGTCTTCGAAGAATAGCCCCTCCAATTTCCTCCCCCACCTCAATGTACTCTTCCTTCTACCACGCACTATCTTCCAAAATCCATTTTCAGTCTTTCTTTGTTAACGGGATATTCAAGTTTAGACATCTTCTAGCCAGCTATAAATTGGATTCAAACAGTTCTATGTTTCCTTTCTAGCAACTTCGAATGGCAAAAAATCATCGGTGAAAAGCCGCTCTGGTGGACGCTGTAAGACACAAAACATGAAGCTCAAATTCCATATTTGTACGAGCAGTGAAGGTCAGTTGTTTGTAAACACTCGAGGAAGGAAGTGATGTTATACTTAAAAAGGGTGCTAAGGACTGCTACTTCACTTAAGTGTTTTGTTTCCTCGTTGATTTTTCCCTTCTGCGAAAAAGATAGAAAACGAAAACACTTTCGGCCTCTTTCCAGTCTATTCACATGCATGTTCGTAGTCAGACATGCAATTTCTTCCAGGCTTTTCTGCAATGCTTTGATATCCACGAAGTAGCGTGAAATGCCCTCGGGATTTTTCTTTCAATGGCCCATTCAAGAAGATAATAACGTTTATTTGCATCAGGAGTTCCCAGAAATTCTTGTAGCGCACACTTAACCAAAACATGAGGCGCGCTTTCATCCGCAGAGTCTCCCTAGTGAATCATAATTGGGCGCGCGGAGCTTTGTGCGCGCGACTTGTATTTCGCCCAGGGTCCCCGGGCTCCTCAGCTCCCAGTCAATGTTCTCACGTCTTCAACACGCTCTTACACGAATACGGCATTTCAAATTGAGAGAGCTGCGAGTCACCTATTCACACTACAGACCCTTTAAAGTAGTGAAACCTTCTCTTCGTAGATCCACGTTGTCTAAGCGAGGATATGTGTAATGGCGTTACGCCTACTACCCAAGCGCAAGCTACTGTCAAGACTGAAAGCACATCATCAAGGTCATGCGCAAATTACACTCTACCTACCACACCCACCACAGGAATGAACGATCCAGGTAACATGAAAACGAAGGACCGAGCTCGTTTAATTTTATAATCTTAAGCCATTTGATAACAAAATTGCTGTAAAAGTCTATACTATAAATCTAAATGAATTGTGACAAATGGTGGGTGAACATATGAAACATTTCACTTTCAGCAAAGTCTTCTGCGAGCAACTCCCATAGGACGTCAATTTTATTGCGGTTTTTAGTACAGAGTGTTTTTTCTGGATAACCTTTTCCCGACTGAGAGAAATAAATCGTTTATTTTGTCGCAATGAATATTACTAGTCTGTTGTTTCATGCGAGACAATGCGATAGATAGCAGAGAGTAGTTTAATGGTTGTCGTTTCATTTTGCTACATTTCATTCAGACATCCCTCATTACCTTCCAATTCACGGGAATTTAATATAAAACATCTGCAAGGCCCTAAGTAAGGTATATTGTTTATCAAATGACATTTGGGCTAACCAAAAGGTTTTTTTCTGTGCAGGTAATCCTGAAAGTGAAGTGTTAGAAGACGAATCCACTTACCTGATCGCAATTGGCTTTCTCGTGTTCATGTGTTTTGCTCTTCTTATTTTATCCATTATCCTGATCTGCCAGCTTTATGGGAAGGGGAAAGCAACGTCAATTTCCTCGCGTGATAGTGCTTCATTCACGATAAGAATCAATGACTCTCCTGACGGGGACTGGGACTGAGTGCCTAGTTAATGTGTGTGTGTGTGTGAGTCAGCGGTCATCGTTTTACTGGTCAGTATCGTCGCTTAGTTACCATACGTACCCTCACTAGAGGAGGACGTGCGAAGGCTTTGATGATCCGTCCCGGAAATTCTTAGTGTTTAGGCGGAGATTGAGAATTAGTTGGTCGAAACTTTAAGCTGTACAATAGCTTATATGTCTTCCCCAGCTTCTTCCCAGGAATTGCTGCGTGTGACGTCACGGGGGCGAATTCGCTGGAAGGTCTCCTGTCGATATCATTGCTTTTCACTTCATTATGTGGGAGGCGCAGTGGGATCATGGTTAATACCCTGGACTCCAGATCGAGTGGTCTGGGTTCGAGCCCTAGTAGCTCTCTCCACCCAGGTGCATAAATTGATACCGGCGAATGTCATGCTGAGGGGTAACCCTGCGATGGATTAGCATCCCATCCAGAGGGGGGGAGGGGGTAGAAATACTCCTAGTCCTTTCATGCTACAGAAACTGTAAGTAAGAGCCGGCCTGGTGAGCCTCTAGGTTCGTATGCAGACTTTATCTACCTTACTTTCACTTCATTATGCGTAAAAGTGTAAATAGCTAGTGTGCCGCAATATTAGTTTGTGAGATTTTTATCGGCAAGACCACAAGAGAAATGTTAGTAAGTCTGCCAAGAACAAGTCAAAGGATCCGCTTTATAATTGTAGATAAAAGACTTCTATGACGCAAGAGTGATATCGTCATACACGCGAGTGATTTTTTTTTATAGATATGAGAGTTTTCAGAACCAATAGAAAGTAATAGCGCGCCGATATTTTTAGCTATACAATAGCTTGTTCCAGGCATTACTCAACTCGTTCTCAGGATTTGATCAGCTTTGTAATTGTAGATACATGTGTGAAAGCCTGATGTTGTCATAAACGCGCGAGTAAAGTAACATTTTGTAGGAACTGTTTTTAATTCTGATCTATAAAGTATATACATACATTCAGCGTTTATATTTCTGGACCATCTTGCATTAAGTAATACCGAGAGACTATGAGTCTATAGGTATACTGAAACAGAAGCTGAATCGTCTAAAAAATCGTTTGATATTCCACATGTTCCAACTTTCTTCCTCCAAGGAAAGCTTGTCTGCAGTTTTAGTTATTTTACAAACATAGATCTGAATAACAGGCCTCCAAACATCGCAGCAATGACAAGAGGCTGTCTAGAATTAACTTTTCAACTTTTTGATGTTTAAAAACATGTCATTTAGTTCTTTTTCAGTCCAATCACTCTCTCCAATCGTGGCAAGGTTGTGATTTTAATTAAAATTATTTTTCTTTCAATATACACGTATTAACCGCTTTTCACATCAAATCATCTTTCCTCTGGCATTACTGGTTGCGGTTATTCTGTTTTGGGTCATTTCCAAGGATTAAGAAGGACGGGCTATAGGACGTACCTGACAGCTGCCCCCGACACACTAAGGAATTCAAATAAGGAGAAATAGTGGTTGATCACTCTATACGTTTCCGGTATGTGCACCAATTCTGGTTGAAGTGTGGCCAAGATTAAAAGTGAAAATAACTCCTTCATCTACTCTTGCATTAACATATTATTTTAAATCTGTCTGGTAAGGTAACACTGGGTGATCAATCATGATCAAGCCGGCGACCTAAATCGTTTATTGCCACTAAGGAGTAATGTATAAGACTGTAAGTGCGTGGCCTGCAATAGAAATCCTTTTTCCTTTGATGATCTTACTATTAACGTCGTCCACGTTTGTTTTCAGGCGATGGTCATGTGCCTAGCACGTGACCGGAAGAAGTATAAAATACCACTCTGTTGAAAACTGAAGGATGATAAAGCTTGATACGGTTTCCCACTATTAGCTCCATCTTTGTTGTAGCCATACCTCCCGGGGTGGGAAGGTGGGGGGGGGGNGGCGGTGGGTTTCCCAAGTGAAATGGGCGTCGTCTCGCTTAAGAGTGCGTAAGTCAAAGATTTTGGTCTCACATAGGGTGTTTAGAACGAAACGACACTATTTTTAGATGTCATTTGGTTTGAAACAGTCCTCGTCTCTCGTTTCACATGCAGCTTAGAAAGTGAAAATGACGAGCGTGGCAGTAAGAATATTAGTTACGTTTTTGTGTTGCTTACACGAGGTATAAATCCACACTTAGTCATCAGCCGAGATATTTATATATATAAAATGTTACCGATAAATCTGTCTTCAGATAAAGCTTTTGTTCTATTGTTAATCTCTGCATGTATACTAGGTGGCTTCAGGTAGACCCGATGATTAATTTGCCTTGTAAACTGGAAAAGCAAATAAACAATCTTAGCATCTACGGTGAACAAGGTCTGCAGTTTGGTATAGAGGGTATATTTTTAAGTAACTGTAGAGGTACACTTGACGTACATCTGATTCACTTCAGTTATCGCAGAATTCGAAGAACTTGGAATTACTCGTCGTGCGTATTGTGACGTAGTCAATTACATGATTTATGACAGCAACCTTACGCTAACACAGAACTATCGTCCGCATTCANGGGGGGGGGGGGGGGGGGGGGGGGGGGGGGGGGGGGGGGGGGGGGGGGGGGGGGGCGGTGGGTTTCCCAAGTGAAATGGGCGTCGTCTCGCTTAAGAGTGCGTAAGTCAAAGATTTTGGTCTCACATAGGGTGTTTAGAACGAAACGACACTATTTTTAGATGTCATTTGGTTTGAAACAGTCCTCGTCTCTCGTTTCACATGCAGCTTAGAAAGTGAAAATGACGAGCGTGGCAGTAAGAATATTAGTTACGTTTTTGTGTTGCTTACACGAGGTATAAATCCACACTTAGTCATCAGCCGAGATATTTATATATATAAAATGTTACCGATAAATCTGTCTTCAGATAAAGCTTTTGTTCTATTGTTAATCTCTGCATGTATACTAGGTGGCTTCAGGTAGACCCGATGATTAATTTGCCTTGTAAACTGGAAAAGCAAATAAACAATCTTAGCATCTACGGTGAACAAGGTCTGCAGTTTGGTATAGAGGGTATATTTTTAAGTAACTGTAGAGGTACACTTGACGTACATCTGATTCACTTCAGTTATCGCAGAATTCGAAGAACTTGGAATTACTCGTCGTGCGTATTGTGACGTAGTCAATTACATGATTTATGACAGCAACCTTACGCTAACACAGAACTATCGTCCGCATTCAATCGCGAACTGCTCTAACAGTGAAGAACACGCGTGAGAAAAACTGCTTTCACGCCCAATTCCCACTTCCTGGGGAAGTAAATGTTCTACAAGGTATCGAAAGGAAGTTATTAACTTATCAGTGTACCGAAAATAGATTCAGTTTCGAAGAAAAGCAGTTGACAGATTGTTCCTGTCTTGGACACCTTTGACAAGCCTACAAGGAAAAAGATGATTGTTTTACTGACAGTATTTACATTCCAGGTAGGCAGGGTTTTTAAAAACTATCTACACTTGACGCCTAAAATCTAAGCTATCGCACATCAGTCCGAACAGTTTTAAAATCCGAAATGAAAAGCGAGCATTCACTAACGAAGAAACATCTGTAGTTTTAACATGTACGAAGACTGAGATGTCATTTTATCGTGTGGACATTGGAAGCAATAGAAGAAGAAGTTCTTGTGTGTTTCTTGCTGCAGCCCTGCTTGTGTGGACGAGTTACCACTGTGGAAAAGCAGAAATCCTTCCTTCAATTTTCTGGACACCCAACAATCCGATGTAAGTAAATTTTGTTTCAATTTCCAAGCATAACACGACTGCTGAATAACGCTTCATCTATGATGCGATCTGCTTCGGTAAATTGAATGTGCATTTGTTTTAAACTGAATCAAAACCTTCTATTCGCTTTTCGGGTGGCGTTACGAAAGAAGGTTTTTCATTATGTTAGTTTCGATTACAATTTTACAACGCTTGGTCGTTGGCAAAAGGTGAGCCATGAAGGCATTGTACCAGTTCAGAGCGAGTTAACAAACTGACGTCAGTTTTTCATGCGTCTGTCCTGTTATTGATCATGAATTTCGTCATACCATTGTCAAAGTAGTTGTGGATCCAGGAGCCGAAAGCCGAGTGGATCCGCAGACTACTTTGACAGTGTTATGACGAAATTCATTGTCAATAACAGAACAGACGCATGAAAAACTGACTTTAATTTGTTTTTTACAGTTACAGATTGTCAGATTGTCCGCTCTCGCTCGTTCACGCATCGCATAAATCATAGATTTATGTCCATACGCTTATTGACAATGAAAATCAGCCAATGAGCGCGCGAGAATTTCTGCAGTTATCGTAAAAAAATGATGGATGAAGGTTTGGGTGCCTAGTTTTACACTATAAAGAACAAGAGGAGCAGGTATATATTACGCATTCAACAAGATATAATAATTGATCAGTTTATACGCCTTTCAAATTGTTGTGGTTTGACGAACTGCTTACGATTATACTTGAATAATTGTTATATCGATTACGCTAACTGATTGTCAGCGCAAGGCATTTCGTTTCTTCAATTAGCTGAACTAAGAAGGTGTCGGAAAATTTGGGTTTCAGCCAGCCATAACCTCCATAACGGAATCAGACGATAGGGGATTGCTGTTTCTAAATGGCTTTAATTTCGTAATTAACTTAATTTTGCCTAATATGACATCACCTTAATGGGAATTTTCCGTTTCACTATTACCTTGCAAACTGAGAATAGACTTTCTAAAAGCCTTTTGCAAAATATTGATAATATTTCCCTGGCATGTTGGGTACAGTCATTGCCTCCTTAAAAAATGATCGCTCGCGGAGCAAACGAAAAACGATAAATGTTGCTATTCGCGTCAAAGCTCAACGCTCGGAGTCTTATCCGTGCAAGTGAAAAAATTAGATAAACCTTTCGCGACTTCGTCGTTCGAAGATCGCTCGAGGGCGATGATTAAGCGAAAGATTAAATCAGTGAAGGTCGTCTTTTGGTAAGTCTAACAAAAGAAGTAAACGGGGGTATTTTATCTTCAACTAGGGAAAAGAAAATGTGCTTATAAACAACACCTCTCCGTACCTTTTTCATAATTCTGAATCCGAATTAGTCATTTGAAATACGCCTTGTAAAGAACCAGACGTAACTATTTGTCTCTATCTTCAGTACCGTCACTAAAATCAAAGCGATATTTTGTCGATTCCGTTCCAATCAGTTTTAGCCACTTTGCAAATTGATTGATACACTTATAAGAGGTGTTAAAGGGGGGGCCACATTCTTGTGATTGAATCTCTGCATTAGGGCCACTAAGTAGCCCTCCCCTGGGATGGAGAAAAGAAGGCGTTTTCAGCATTTCACAACAGCAAAAACGCTTTCCGTGGCGCTCATATATATTATTTGCTCGCCCTTCCAATCGCAGTTGCTCTGCCCCATTAATACAAAATTTGAAAATTGATTATTCTTAGTTCAATATTCATTATTCAGTTTGTGATTCCGCTTTAACCTCGGAACATTTATCGCCACAAAACTCATCATTTGCAGTTTTTCGAAGACGAATTACGAGCTGAATGTGTTTCCCTACACCCAGCTGCACATCGTTTGTCCTAACACCTGGACAGTACTAAAAACCTGGAAACACCAAGTACCACAGACGGACCTGTATGAGAATATTTGGGGAGTGGACGAGTCTGGTTACAAGACGTGCTCGACAGGAAAGGCGGCATCTCAGCCAGCGCTGATTTTATGTGATTCACCCACACAGGTTAAATTCGACACTTTTGTGTTTCGATTTCCGGCTAATTCTCCAACAACATTTGCACCTGGCAAGGAATATTTCTTTATTGGTAAGAGGTTATAAAAATATGTGATAATAATTAATGAAATGAATGAAAAGTTGCTTTGCTCTTTGTTTTCCGGGATTCTTTCCGAGGTGAAAATTGATTTAAAATCGACGTTTCGGCAATTTTAACTAGCCTTCTTCAGGAATTGAGAAAATCAAGATGAAATGATGATAAATGTAGAGCTTGGTGAAATGATAAGAGGAGCTAGAAGTTGACCACAAAATGATAATTGAGAATATTTAGACAGGGTAACACTTCAATTCAATGACTTCAGCTATAAACTGGTATCAATGTGAGCCCTGTTAACAAAAATGCTCCAGTAGATAATTAAAAAAAAAACTGCCCCTAGTTAAATCCTGAGCGTTTTGAGGACAATACCGCCAGTTCCTCTTCCTAAATGCTCCATCTTCAGTGGGTTTCAATGACTTCGTACAGCCAAGCCAGATAACGTCACAATACTCCAGGCCAGGAGTGGCAAAATCACAACCTTGATCTCAAGCTTCTCTCCGTTGCGTGAAGGAGAGATCCTTGGAACAATTTTGGTAAAATAGTCGTGAGAAAAGAATTCCCAGTTTCTGAGATACCTTGGCCGTCATATAATTAACGTGTTCGTTACAAGCGTGAGACAACCGGAAATACGGAGAATTGGACTTCAAGACTCCCAGTTTTACACCACGCCCATAAGTTTGAAACAATACTGTTGTCATGAAGCTCTCTAAAACCTCTAATTTCATTGGATCTTGTTAGCGCGAATCGAAGCTATATTGATTTAGGCCTAGGGTGCATTGTTACTATTGTTTGTATATCATTTTCCCAGCTAATCCTGTGAGACGTTCCGAGGAGCTTCGTGAAACAATAGCCAAAGATGACTTTAAAATCCTTTGTTATGGCAATTATAAAACGAGTTCATTTTTAACGCAGTAATTGTACCGCTAAGCATGGTAAGCAGTGCCAGCATAACAGCGAAACGAAGAAAAGATAGTACAAGAGTTATTCAGTCTGTGACTTTAGAAATAAGCTGACAAAAACCAAAATATATATAATGCCACGCTTTTTTATTCTTTTTCTTTCCCATGATCTACAGCCACGTCAGACGGGAAGAGGAGCTCGCTGAATTCAACTTCTGGTGGGCATTGCACCACACATAACATGCGATTTAAGGTGTATGTGTGTAAGAATAGACAAGGTAGGTCCAACATATATAATTAATCTCGTGTAGCTACCTGTTATATCATCTTATGACGGTAGTGCATTACTTGCAAAGAATTTTGGACGTTTTTAATTTCGGACGAAAACTGAACCCGAAAATAAAACCGTCCGAAATATTTACCGGCAGTACAATATGAAACTTTGAAGTATCTCCAAAGCTCTTAGTTTCCTTTATGTGCCGGGCTTTAAGGAGCGAACTCTGGTTGAGACAGTGCTTGAGATACGTAACGGCTTGATAGACTTCATAGAATCACGTTATTTTCTCTTCGGTGTATTCGTAAAACCTCAGTTGAGGCTGCAGTAAAACTATCATTTTCACAGATTTCGTTTTAGTCGAATTCGTGTTTTGTAGATGTAAATTTACTTTATCTATGTTTCAGCAAAGTGTCCGAAACTGTTGTCCGAAATCTGTCCGAAATTAGATAAAAAGCGTCGGCAAATTAAACGTCCGAAATTTTTGCAAGTAATGTATACTAATTAACAATTAGACTACGAGTAGTCCCTCTTTCGCTAAGTCCGTCGTGCGTGACGCGAAAGAAAACTGCGAGAAAAAAATGGCCGCGCGAAATCCTGGGGATGAGAAGCGCTTTTTATTTATAATATACCACTTGACAATCTACGGTCACAATCACAAACTTCTCTTTAGTTTCCACCTGCAAAGAATGACAACCAACAATCTCTGCCTTTCACCAGCCTCGTTACTTATAATCATCGTCCTAATTAACCAACGCCTAATTACCATTAAGAGTAAATATAGGTCCTTGTCATCAATATCGTCAGCACAGTGATAACCATTATCATCATCATTATCACCATCACCACCATCACTACGCTTTTTTTTTTTTTTTTNTTGTAAGAATATCGTTTTTCCGGCCCAGGCTAAATATTCTTATTTTTCTGCCGATTTTAGGCTGTAAATATTCTTGTGAATATTCTTAGATTATTGGAGTAAAAAGGGGACTATTTTGACAGAAATCTCATTAGATCGAACATACGGCGATTGCCGTTTTTGTTGTTTTTTTGGCTTACTTTACCGTTTAGGGAAGGAAAAATTTTTATAAAGTTTAGGCCACCCTCGGGAAAATGGATAATGACCCCTTAAAACAATAGAGCTTTGATTACTGGCCGCCTAATAGGGATGGCCGTTTAATAGGTGGCTAGTTAAAAGAGGTTGGACTTTGATTGCATTTACGAGTTTTCAACCCAAAAAAATTATATTCTTTTCAAAATCTCAGCCTGGAGTCAGTATTCTTAAGGTATTCCTGGAGGCAAATTTGCATATATTTCTCCCATATCTACATGCATCAAATCGGTCAAAATACTGGCCCAAAGTTAGTCATTTTTCACATCTAAAATGTTATTGTATGTATTTTCGTTAAAAAGCAATATCATTCTGTAAGAATTGAAGTTGGCCCTGAAATTTGATATTCAAATGAGCGTGGTCGAAACCCTCACGGTTTGCTTCTTTCTATATAACTCAAAGAATATCCCTTCCACGTTAGAAAGGTTTGGCCAATTGATGCACAACGTTGAAAACTAAAATTTTGTGGGAGTACGTCAAGGAAATGTAAAACGGAAAAAATATATGTCTAGAAATGTGATTATGTATACTTATGAAATTGGCGATGCTAGTACGAGTCTTGAATTCGAAGGCATTTGACGTACTCCCACAAAAAAGTTCGTTCACATACGTAGTTTATGTCTGCCAAGTGTTAAGTCCTTCCATTTAATCTACGAAAAGAAAATGAAATGAACAATCCCCACATTTGAAGCACCATCTGTTTTGACACACAAAATCAAGCTTAAAATTTTCGGTTAACATTTCGCAAATTTCAGCCTTGATATTGTCATAAAGTATATTCTTACAAAAAAGAAAGAGTGTACCACCACCGTCATCATCATCATCATTATCGTCAACTTCATTTACGTTATCATTAGAATGACTTTACAAACGTTTTATTTTTGTTATCCTCCCATTCAGATAAAAGATGCAGCCCTCCTAAGAAAAAACCTAGTCCAACTCAAGTTCCTAAAAGGAACAAGACAGTCTCTCCTCCTAGATCATTTGTTGAGTGCAATAACACTAATGACACTGATGTTAGATCAAAATTTTGCAACAACACTGTTTGCGGTAAGTTTGTCACTACACGTAGTCACTCGAGGAGATACGTTCCAGATTATACGACTAAAGAGGATCGTTAATTTTAGGATTTTGGAGTTATTTTTTTTCCCTGTGGAAACAATACTTATGGGTTGAAGCCAAATCGTTTAACCTCAAAGAAAGTAGTCGTATACAGTGAAGTTCTACAGCGCAATGCAAAATGGGCTTAAATGGCACTATCATGACGGTAAACTTAAAAAATCATAACAGAAAAGACACATTTTCATTCATGGAGACCTAAATATAATGGTCCAGTTTTGTTCTGAAGCTAAAAGAATGCGACTTAATGAATTACGCATGCACCAACCTCGTTCCCAAAGCCCTCTCTCTACCTGGGAACGAGGCTGCGCATGTGCAAGGTGTTAGAATAGGGTCAAATTGAAAAAGTTTGGTACTTAAGACTTGTTTAAGCTTTGTCGTCATGTTTTGGGAAAATCGCTGACAACTAATTACAATTTGCTTCCCGGTTCCCTTTCCACAATTCACGTAATATCCTCATGCTGATGTTTTGAGAGTATTTCACGGTGTACGAGAAAGGGTCTTTAGTCAAAAATGCGTCAAAGTCTTGACCAAAAATGCGGCAAACTCGCTGTGATTTAACCCTGACACGTTCGAATTTGTAAAGCAACAATGAAGCAATTAGGTTTGTCTATACTGAAACGTAACGGCTTCTATTTTAGCCCAGCGATCTCTTTCATTTAAAGTAGGGGCCAAAAGCTTAGAAACTGTCTCTGCATGAATTGAAAACATCACTGACGAAATGTCATGAATTATAGTTTTGGAGAGAACTGCTGTAAAACCCTTCGTCTTTGTATTTAGCTTAGACCATTGTGTTGTTTATGCTGCCTTTTTAAAGTCCAAAATTAAAGGATTTCGTAGCTTGCGATTAAAAATATGACACAACTGGTTGTGTCAGTAAAAACGTGTTGGTGTACAATGTTTATCACTGCTGTTTGTGTTATATTTCTATAAGGATTTCATGAACGTCATCAAATATTACTAGTAACTGAAATAAATTTGATTGTAGATTCTCTATTTTTTAACAGGTACCACCAAGACAGAGATACTCCGAAAAACTGGGACTTTTGTAGGTACTGTCGCTATCTTGGGGTCATTGGTAGTCCTTTCTATGGCCTTAAATGCTTTCCTTTTATGGCAAAAATGCAAGCAAGAACTAAAACAGCGAGCGGAAAGAGCGTCACTGAGTCGTCACTGAGAGTGTACCTGTCTTGAGCCCAAAATTGCCCGACTCTTTGGTCATCGGCTAGGAAAGCTTAGCACCAAAAATGACGTCAGACCGTATTTTTTGGGAAATAAAAAAATGTGTAACTTTGTCTGTTATAAAAACATCTCAAAACCTGTCGTCCGGTAGATTAATATTTTATTTCTCATGAACGTCTAATCAGAGCCAAATTCTAATCCCTGAAATCTTGAGGTGGAGCCGTGCTGGTAGATTTTGAGGAAAACGTCATTAAAACTACTAGTGTCGTATGTGATGGTTTAAGACTTTAAAGAATAACAGTAATTAGAGAAAGCAAAAAACACTTCTTGAAACATTTTACAAAAGAGTCAAGAAGTGAGCAATTTTTTCCCTCAATACTGTAGGTCTTACTTCAAGGGGCAACGCCGACATAACAACGTGACTCCTAACCTTTTGTGGTTGTGTTTTCACTAGGACAATTTTGGCTAGATAAAGTCGGAAAAGTCTGGAAAAGCAGTGAAAACAGTTCGTCTTGAGTTTAGCGAGTTAAAAATGCACGCTGTTTTCACCAGAAAAAAAAAGCGATTGTCTCGTCAATATGACCGGAAATTCGCGCCAAGTTAGACTACCTCGCGAGATGCTATAACCTGTCCTGGCGAGTGCCGCAGCCAATCACACTGTGCGTAGTGACAAAGGCCTGCAAAGAATCTGGCAATAGTATTCACCAGACGTTCGTACCACGGTTCAGTTTGCGAAGCAGAACTTTTAAAACGCCAGACGAGTTCAGCAGTCCTTCTCATTTATTTCGGTTTACCATTCCTACGGTCCCGTTAGATTCTCCAGTTCCTCGACTAGGACCCTTATGACACGGCGTCGCCGTGCAGAACGAGTTCCTGCATTACAACAGTTTGTCGCATCTTCCTCATTTCTGGGAACATTAACCGCATCCTCTGGAAAAAATGCCTTCTCGATCTCCTTCGCATAAATATGACTAGAATCAATTCAAGAGAAGTCGTTAAAAGCGCTTCCTCTCTCAGCCATTTTAGAAAGTTGCGCGCTTTTGTAATTTAAATCTTCTGAGTCAGTGGGTTAAATTCTGGGTTAAATTTCCAGTGGAAACAGATATTTAACTAGCAAATGCTGATCTGTAAACAAACACCCAGAAAGAATGTTCAGCTTGTTAGTCGGCAACCTGTGTCTGATTATACGATAGTAATACACCAGGAGCCCATTACCCTTAAATTATAGAAGTGTCTGGATTTCCCTGTTCATTGAAGCAGCATGGTTCTCAACAATTGCAAAGTGCCTCATCAAAACATCAAAACTTGTCTAGCAGACTAGGTAAAGCAAACAAAGTTTAGCCAATCAAGACAGGGGTTATCATGGATGTTTAATTTCATGCATGTTTCGTGGAGGTCTTAGCCAAGGTTAAAGAGAAACCTCAAAAGCACTTGTCTCGATAAACAGTAGAGACCTCCAAGAACTCGAGTATATTACATCCGATCACTAGATACAGAATTACTAGATATTTTCTTAGCTAATCGACACTTTGCTTTGGGAATGTTTTGATTAGTTATGATACAATTTCAAACCTTATCCTTCTGGCTGAGGTTGATGAAAAGAGATATTGAGCAATTATTTCGTGATATAAAATACACTCTTTTTTTGTCAGAATATTGCTTTCCGGCCGACGCTGAATATTCTTATTTTTCTGCCGATTTTAGACTGAAAATATTCTTGTGAATATTCTTAGATGATAGCACATGACATACCTGGTTTCGAATGTATTTGGTGTCTGGATGATGTTTAAGTAAGTTTTGAGCCAACCTGCAGGCATTAATAATATCACGCACATAACCTCTTGCCGAAATGCTATTAACATCGAACAAACGGCTAGTGCTATTTTTGTTGCTTTTTAGCTAGTTTTGACGTTTAGATAAAGAAAGAATTTCATACACTTATTAAGTTAAAAACATATAATTGTATTGTATTGACAAACTTTCATCATACAAAATTATATTCCTTTCAAAATCGAAGCCTCGGGTTTAATCTTAAAATGCTCTTAAAATTTCGTAAATTTCAGCCTCTAAATTCTTAAAGAAAACATATTCTTATAAAGAAGAAAGAGTGTATCATTCTTAGCAAAAACGAACTTGACTTTGAAGTACAGCTACTTGCTTCGCGCTCAGCTCTCCAGTTTGATGCAATCTTCGTGCTGCACAAAGTCATCTTCAAGTTAAGTCAAGTCCAGTCAAGTCATCTTTGTTTAGGCAGGGTAGATCAATCAGCCATAGGCTGGTATCAAAAGGGGTCCTGCGTAAAATTATAAGACCACATGATAAAAAATTCAGAATTTAAAAATTACCTCAAAGTTATGTACAAGGAGTTTAAAAATTGAATATAAAGGAAATTACATATCCGATGAAGTACAATTTTTCTAGATCAATACAACAAAAGAGAACAATCAAAGTATATCTAAGTATTATATTGGTAGAAAACTAATGGCTAAACTGAAAACTAAGAGTTCTTAAAAATGGAAAGCGACGTGGCTTCTTTCACTGATGTGGGTAAATCATTAAAAAGAACCGCGCCTGAAAATCTAAATCTACAGACAGCTATTTAACTTTCTTTCCTGCACCGGGTAAGTGAAGCGGACAATCTTTTTCGACGCCGTAAGTTGAAAATAGAAGAAGTCTGGTCCAGGTCGTTCAAAGGGTGGATCATGTGGATATATCACTATCCAGTGGATAGCGTGGTCTGTTTTGCCAACAAGTATCCACTGGATAGCGATCTCTCCGGTGGATAGCGTTATCCACCTTTAGACAACCGTGTGTGGGGCCTGAGGCCGCACGAGGGCGATATCAACGGAAATTGTTTATCGCACGATCTCCCCCTCCCCCATCCCCCGTATTGATCTTCGTGGAACAATGGTCAGTCTTATCAACATTTGATTTCTTTTCTTTTTTTTTTTCTTTTCTTTCCTTGTTTTTTTGTCAAAATGGACAATGCAATGAAGTTCCATGTAACGTAGACAAACAAAATCAATCTCGTTTCATAGTTTCTTTTTTTAACCCTAATCTTGATGCAGATATTAATTCGTTTCTGAGAGAGCGATAGTTCCTGCAGGAAACAAACGAATGCTTCGAGCTATATATGGCCACCGTGATAGAATATGAAGGTTAATATTAGCTCAGTCAATTTTGAAACTAAATTCAATGTAAAAGTTTAATCACTGTGATATGATCTAAAGAGAATCTTTCATAGTTGTTAGTCCAAAATATATTCTAGGCTAAGTAAGGTTAATTGAGGGGCGGGTTTAGAATGAAGTGGATCTGTAATATACTGCCTCTCGCGAACAACATACAGCAATAGTAAAATACTATTGTATTTAGCCGAGCGAGAAGGTAATGCGAGAAAATTTAAAGTCACTTTCCTCTCGATAGAGGTTAATTCTAATTGCATTCCAACGGAGATGAGACATTTTCTCGCTACTCATCTTGAGATAGCGTTATCTTGCTCGAAATCTAGGGTTACAGTGTATTTCTCATAATTTTGAGCGGGCGACAGGGCGTGAGTGTAGGGGAGGGGAGGGAATGGTGAGGGCTTGTCAAGGGAGTCCTATGGAAACAAGTTATTTGTTTACGCGAAAAAATATTTAACTGACCAATGTATTGAGTTTATTCTAGCAACTTCTCCTCTACTTACCCGTCCTCTGTTCATCTGGATATGTATCCTAGGCTTTGTTTCAATCTCTGTAATTAATACTTCAGAAATAACAAGGTACAGGAGGAAAAGCTACTCCATATGAAGTTTTGGATCATGTGCACTTCTATAAATAACACTGAAATAAAAACTGTTCATCAAATCATTTATCAAGCTGCCATTGTATTGCGTGATTATCGTTTACTTGGCGTGACAACTCTATCCATCAAAATTTCTTCAGAAAACATGAAAGTCCAACCGTTCTTCTAAACTAATTCAAAACACAGCAGGGAACAAAAAGCCGTGCAGTGCCAGTACTAAAACATATTTATGAGATCAATTTTCTTTTCCCCTCTATTGCTTTAGAATAAGAGATTGCACTAAATGCTCTAAAGCTTTTAGAGCTTTCCATTACACGCAACGTTTTTAGGGCTCTAGCTTTTTTGAACACACAGGTCTGACTGTTTGGTCTACAACACAACTATGTACTGTTGTTATGACGAGTTTGTAAGACCCCTGAAGTTTTTACAAGAATTTTTTTTACAACCGAACCGTTTCAGTTGCACCATTTGTGTCCTGTTTATGATATTTATGGGCACGAGTTTACTGAATGCTTGTTGTATTCGTCCATAACGTGGTCTTCGCGCGTGCAAAACAGTATCTTTTTTCCTAAAGAAGATTTTTTTGACTAATGCGATAAAACTTTCTAGAATTAAATTTTCCTCTTCGATTTCCGGAGCAATTAGAACCAACAGCTACATTCCGTGTGCTTCGTGTGTAGTCAAGTAATGGTGTTTTCAGCAGGGGGGTTTACAAATAATAATAATTTCCTTGAGGTTAATGCACATCAAATGAAACATGTTGATAAACAAATGATTTGGTATACAAGATACGAGGTCATCCATTGCTCGCCTGAGACAACATTTCAGTCAATTTACCACATGTTCTAAAGTGGAATTCAAACAGACTTCTTAGTTTCTTCGTTTTCTTTGGAATTTTGTTACATTTTTCATTACAACTGATACCCGTGTGTTTGTTGGGCAAACATTAACATAATGATTGAGAGGGGGGGGAGGGCAAGAGCGATTAAGGAAATTCAGGGGTGGGGTGGAGAGACTGGTTGTAAATCAACATCTGTCTTCTCAAGTTTTCAACGCCTCCCAAGCGTACGAATGAGTGAGTGGTTTTGTGTTTCAAAGGGATTGATGTTTTCAAGTACAGTTGGCTATTGACATGAATCGAGCAGAACACACAGAGAAACGCAAGCAATAACTCGCCAAGTTCTGATCTGTGTGTAGGAAAGATTCATTGGAATTGCAAAGCGCTGGTTTTTGAGGTGAGAAGTAACACAGGAAGGTTGTGAGCTGGGACGCGGCAATACAACACCGGTACACGTCAACGAATAATGCTGAACGTTCAACACGTTGACCATATTGGTATGCAGCGCGCTAAAATGACAGTCTGATATTCGTCGATGAAAACACTTCTATTTGTGGCAAGAGGATTAAAAGAACCAAAGGGTTTCCGGTACGCTAACGTTGTTGGGGAGGAAGCTGTGAAATATTTGTCTCTCCAGCCGTTGCGAAAACGGAACTAGGGGGAAAACCACTGTGCCGTATACTAATAGACTCATTTCACAACACATGGCTGCCGTCGTCTAACGCGAACTGTTACGATGTATCGCGAACCGTACTCCGTCCTGCTTTTGACACAAATTGTGATGTTTTTCCAAGTTTTGGAGTGTGCTGTGTACCCGTCGATCCACTGGTCACCTCAAAATCCTCTGTAAGTCAACATTTTCCTTCCTCATTTGTGAGTAATAATTTAATGAGATTACGCGCTGCGAGTCCAACGATGTTTTCCATGAGATCTTGTGCTATTCAGTAGCTTCGTAGTTGTCTTCTGCTCGTCCTTTCATGCCCATCTTGTAAGATTCTCACGGGTTTAACTTTTGACACCAGTTGATTGTATTCCCTATAGAAATGGCTAAAATTTTCTATTGTTTCGCGTCGTAATTATGTGTTTGTGCGGTGCTTTTATGATGTACGCTCGCAGGACAATAAAATGTTATCAGCAAGATCGATCGTGTTCGAAGGAATTACTCTGTAAACTTATTGGCGGTTTCGTTATCTCCAGTTGTGTCGAAAGTAACTGATAACATGGTTGGCGGAAACTTTAGAACTTATTATCGCATATGTATTTTTACAGCGCTTGTTGTAAATGTCTCATTTGTTTCCTAGCAGTGAATGAAGGCGATTTCGTAGTCCAATTGTTTATTATCATTATCGAGATAGCAATATTACAGTGTCTGAGGCCATTTTTACTAGTCTTAAGCGTAAATTACGCACCAGACCCATCATGATATCTGTTCTCCTGGTGCGACTCTTTGCATCCATGTTAGTTTTTGTTTGGTTTCTTTCATGTTGCGTTGTTTACATTGGCCTTACCTTTGCTTTGCGTCCCTCGAGCAAAATATGGTACATAAAACGTTTTACGCTTGATATATTTTATTACCCTTTCTCCTAGTTAGAATGATATTAGTCTGACGTGCAGTAAATCAAGTTTTAGTCAGTGACCCTTACAACGGTGAAGCATTACTCGCTGTGTTCCTTCTGAAAATAGGATGTCTTCTGTATCCAAAATCTCGCAATGAAGGCGGCATTCCTAAATAATGGATGTGTACATAGCTAGCTTTGAACACTAGAGATATTTGTATTTACAAGCTGTTTTAATTTAGTGAATACCGTGTAATAAAAGCCAAGTTTTGGTCGTAAATTGATTTAAGGACGTACTAGTTCGTAATGACAATTCTTTGATAAACTTGTATTTCGTGTAGGAGCGAGGCAAACCAAAGCAAACCAGAGCAGTGCTTTTCCAAAAGCACGTCCGTGTGCCATTTTAATTTCCACAATGCTAAGAACACAAACCGTGAACTTTATTTACTTATTTCATATCCTTAGATCAATTTTCCTGTAACCGCTTGACATTATTTTTCAACTCTCTGTTGGCCGTCGTGGTTTTAAACAAAAGCGAATGACCCATTCAATTGTAAGGGTTGACCTGAGGCAAATTAAGTTTAATCAAAGCAGCCTCCATTGTAACAAAAGACATGGCAGATAAGTTAGGTCCATGCAGCGCTAAATGACGACGATTGATTAGTTTGGCATGCGAGACAAAAGCGAAACGTGCGACTTAGATTTTGGGATTTGTCTTTGAGGTAATCTTGCTTGCCGAAGAATTAAGTCTGCGAACTTTAGGAATTTGAAATCCCCCACATGTTTTCCCAAGTAATTGTGTTGTTTCTTAGGATAACAATGTTGATTTGTCGACAAAGCTTAATTATCGCGGAAAAGAGATCAAATTTCAGAGCGAAAACTTATGAACCCGTTCAAAATACAAAAATGTTTAATTTTTGGAGTAATTTGGAAACAGCTCTTTTGAGTCTAAGCTAAACGTCAAGACACTAAAAATTGACTTTACAAGCTGAGCACTTGGAAAGCATAACCTAAAAACATCGAAGTTAGTGTTCGTTGTAACCCAAAAACCCTATTTGAAATCGATATAAATTCCCAAAGAAAGAATTTGACTGGTGATGAAACTAAATGAAATGTTATCGGGCGATATTGGCAATCTTATATTTGTTTTACAAATCTTGTCAATAGTAGACGAGTTTTTTGTTCTCACTTCGTCAATCTCTTCCAAAGGTGCGTAGTATTTCTAATGACGGCGATTTTTCAGCCCTTTTCTGAACAAAGTTTGAGTGACAAGTGCCAAGAACGGAGATGAGTGTATGGCTATAAACACCTTTGGTGTTAATCGATGTCATTTCAAATGAAAACTTAAGCTTTCGGGAACGAGCGAACAACAGGAGAAAGAGATGTTTGTTTCCATGAAATTCTAGCGCGTTTTAGACGTCATATTACAGCAAAATTAGCAAAATAGAGAAAGAAGAGTTGATTGACATGTTGCGAAGTTCAGCTTTGTCCACCACCGCGCCAAAATAAAGTACCTTATATGCAATAAAAATGTCTGATTACAGTGGCTGTCAGATTATGTGATAACTTTAAAGCTTCTATCTAAACCGGAGTTACTTCTGGTGCAGTCCGATCGAAACTCATCCTTGGTGAGGTCATGTTTAGGAAGGGTTGAATTACCGAAATACCTTCACGAAATACAAATATACGCTAAAAAAGTTGTGCTCTGAATGATCTAGCTTCAGTCATCACGGAACCCTCAGAACTTGGCACAGACTAAGTGAAGGAACAATGAAGTGATGCTACGCTTTAAACTAGCGTGTTCTGGTTATAATACCCTTGACAGGATTAGAACATAAAGTAGAGATATAAAATAGGTCATATGTAAGTCAATTCTTTTGAAAACGAACCAAAACATAGCGCCTCGAAGTTATAGCTCTTGACTGCCTCTATCATTGCAAAGTATTTTCAGCAGCACAGTACATTACTGTTAGTAAATCGTGCCTGGTTAAGTTTTCTCGCACAAAACTTGAAATACAACTTTTTTTTTGGTCCAAAAATCATATCCACAACAGAAGATGTAAAAGTGTTTAATTATGTTTGGGTGGGGAGATCTTATCGTCGTTTCCTCAATCCCAGTTCATCATTTATCTCAGACTTAAAAAAAAAACCTTTTACCGAGGCTTTTAACAGACGCAATATTATGTATCTGACACGAGATTGTTTCAGGTCAGATAGAAATATCACAACACACTTTCATTTACCTTCCAGGTTTATCACTGCTTTCAGTTCTAAGTATCAATTTAAATGAGTAGCTTGGACTAATATCTCGCGCTTCAAGAACTATATGGAGTTTTTTTTTTTTTTTTTCACTTTTTCGCATCAACGTAACGCGGTTTATTTAGAACAAAGCCTACAGCTTCGGCCTTGGAGAGCTCCTTTGACCCTGACATCCAAGTAGTAAAGATAAAATCACATGATAATGATGTGTTTTACGAGATATCTGTCATAGCTTGATTAAAGGGTAATACAGGATTTTATGTAAGTACTATTTTGGTTATTGCAATCTGTTTTGAATTAGACAGTATTAATTCGTCTGAGAATTTGGAAAGTGTATAACCCCATGCACAGTTTCAAGGGAGGCGAAAAAATTCCAAGGATTCCGCCAAAACTACGGCAATTTCTTGAAAACATCTTCGCGGTTTTTCAGTTTTAAGGCGGTTTTAGAACACGGACAGACGAGAGAAACGAATATGTTGTTAGCAAAAAAATTATCTGAACCTTTTTTGGTTCAGTTAGGCTTTTTTTAGATTTTTTGAGGATGTATTTGCGTTATGAGTTTTAACATGATGGCCTCTTTTCAGAGCAAGCGAAAGATGTCAAAGATATTAGCTGTTTTTCACTCTTTCGGAAGCAAAACATCCTTAAGCATTGGCGAAGGCATATCAATATATTGATAGATGTAAAATGTTTGTGTTTATTCCGCAGCTGTTCTTGTATATGTGGAGAGCGGCACATCACATCACGCAAGCTTGCCGCGGTTTAGTTTTCTTTCGATTCCGAACGCAACAATATCATTTGTGGTTTCTTTATATCTGAGTTCAGTTATTCTTTTCTATTTTTCTTCTAGAAATGCAATTTAACATATACAGCTACAAGTTTGTTTTCATATGACCACACGCTGACTCTTATTTTAGCTTCGTGGTTTTACCTTTATTACATGTCGATGCGGCCAGCTTTAAGCTCAATAAAATATGTCAGACGATTATTTCCGAATTCAAGATAATAAAAGTAATTTGTGAATGAATTGAGACAATAACTTCAATCATGATTTCCTATATTCTTGTCTGTCGACCGCAGCGTTGCGGTTTTCTCGTAGTGCCCTGTGGAAACGCGCTTTCTTGGAAATTTCCTTTTATAGCCATGCAATACATTTTTCTTCGTCGGAAAGACTGTTTATACAGTGACTGCCTTGTTGTCCAAGCTTCCAGACAGTATAACCGCCTCGTATTATTGATTTCCTCGGTTTTTATTGTACAAGCTTCATCACACCTCTCTCGGAAGTAGTTGTCGATGTACCCACTTGAATAGGTGTAAAATAAGGTATCAAAAGGAAACCAACAACAGGAAACCCACCAGGACAGATGACTTGTTTTTCTGTCTCACGCGAAAAAGAAACCCGAGAAAAACAAGGCGTATTTGTGTATTTACGGTTTTTGGATTTGTCTGAAAATCAAAACGCTCAGAAGAAAGCATCTGTTTTTGTCGTCAACTCATCGATGGGGCGTGCATTTGTAGACAGCAATATATCCTTTTTCCTCTGAAATGCCATTCATTGTCTTAAGCTTTGTTTGTGCCTCCCGCGTTCGGTTTTCAACACTAGAGGCTAATTGAATTAATCACTGCAGTCATGTGATGAATAGTTTGCATTCATGCACATCACAGAGTGAAATATACACTGAATATATGACACGGCCGAAAATCGGCCTGGAAAATGGTACATCACAGTTTAAATCACTTGTAGGATATTCAGGGATCATGACTGACTTTTTCAAGAAATTGCGTGTTCATGATTCTGGGCACACAACCATTTAAAATGACCTTTGTTGTTCACGATAAGCTACCTGTTTTTGAGAAGTTGTGAATGCAGTGTTTTGGTGATATTTACTGACGTTAAACTTGAGTGTTTTTGACGCACACCGTGATAAGTTGTTTGCGTGAAAAACAAAAAACAAAAAAGACGTTCAAGTGCGAGAAGAGGTTCTGCGTATATGACAGCCGTCAAACATGCACTCTACCTACCCACTCCCCACCTCTCCCTTTTTTTTACAACCGAACCGTTTCAGTTGCACCATTTGTGTCCTGTTTATGATATTTATGGGCACGAGTTTACTGAATGCTTGTTGTATTCGTCCATAACGTGGTCTTCGCGCGTGCAAAACAGTATCTTTTTTCCTAAAGAAGATTTTTTTGACTAATGCGATAAAACTTTCTAGAATTAAATTTTCCTCTTCGATTTCCGGAGCAATTAGAACCAACAGCTACATTCCGTGTGCTTCGTGTGTAGTCAAGTAATGGTGTTTTCAGCAGGGGGTTTACAAATAATAATAATTTCGTTGAGGTTAATGCACATCAAATGGAACATTTTGATAAACAAATGATTTGGTATACAAGATGCAAGGTCATCCGTTGCTCGCCTGAGACAACATTTCAGCCAGTTTACCACATGTTCTAAAGTGTAATTCAAACAGACTTCTTAGTTTCTTCGTTTTCTTTGGAAGTTTGTTACATTCTTCATTACAACTGATACCCGTGTGTTTGTTTTGGCAAACATTAATATAATGACTGAGAGGGGGGAGGGCAAAATCCACGAAATTCAGGGGTGGGGTGGAGAGACTGGTTGTAAATCAACATCTGTCTTCTAAAGTTTTCAACGCCTCTCAAGCGTACGAATGAGTGAGTGGTTTTGTGTTTCAAAGGGATTGATGTCGTCAAGTACAGTTGGCTATTGACAAGAATCGAGCAGAACACACAGAGAAACGCAAGCAATAACTCGCCAAGTTCTGATCTGTGTGCAGGAAAGATTCATTGGAATTGCAAAGCGCTGGTTTTTGAGGTGAGAAGTAACACACGAAGGTTGTGAGCTGCGACGCGGCAATACAACACCGGTACACGTCAACGAATAATGCTGAACGTTCAACACGTTGACCATATTGGTATGCAGCGCGCTAAAATGACAGTCTGATATTCGTCGATGAAAACACTTCTATTTGTGGCAAGAGGATTAAAAGAACCAAAGGGTTTCCGGTACGCTAACGTTGTTGGGGAGGAAGCTGTGAAATATTTGTCTCTCCAGCCGTTGCGAAAACGGAACTAGGGGGAAAACCACTGTGCCGTATACTAATAGACTCATTTCACAACACATGGCTGCCGTCGTCTAACGCGAACTGTTACGATGTATCGCGAACCGTACTCCGTCCTGCTTTTGACACAAATTGTGATGTTTTTCCAAGTTTTGGAGTGTGCTGTGTACCCGTCGATCCACTGGTCACCTCAAAATCCTCTGTAAGTCAACATTTTCCTTCCTCATTTGTGAGTAATAATTTAATGAGATTACGCGCTGCGAGTCCAACGATGTTTTCCATGAGATCTTGTGCTATTCAGTAGCTTCGTAGTTGTCTTCTGCTCGTCCTTTCATGCCCATCTTGTAAGATTCTCACGGGTTTAACTTTTGACACCAGTTGATTGTATTCCCTATAGAAATGGCTAAAATTTTCTATTGTTTCGCGTCGTAATTATGTGTTTGTGCGGTGCTTTTATGATGTACGCTCGCAGGACAATAAAATGTTATCAGCAAGATCGATCGTGTTCGAAGGAATTACTCTGTAAACTTATTGGCGGTTTCGTTATCTCCAGTTGTGTCGAAAGTAACTGATAACATGGTTGGCGGAAACTTTAGAACTTATTATCGCATATGTATTTTTACAGCGCTTGTTGTAAATGTCTCATTTGTTTCCTAGCAGTGAATGAAGGCGATTTCGTAGTCCAATTGTTTATTATCATTATCGAGATAGCAATATTACAGTGTCTGAGGCCATTTTTACTAGTCTTAAGCGTAAATTACGCACCAGACCCATCATGATATCTGTTCTCCTGGTGCGACTCTTTGCATCCATGTTAGTTTTTGTTTGGTTTCTTTCATGTTGCGTTGTTTACATTGGCCTTACCTTTGCTTTGCGTCCCTCGAGCAAAATATGGTACATAAAACGTTTTACGCTTGATATATTTTATTACCCTTTCTCCTAGTTAGAATGATATTAGTCTGACGTGCAGTAAATCAAGTTTTAGTCAGTGACCCTTACAACGGTGAAGCATTACTCGCTGTGTTCCTTCTGAAAATAGGATGTCTTCTGTATCCAAAATCTCGCAATGAAGGCGGCATTCCTAAATAATGGATGTGTACATAGCTAGCTTTGAACACTAGAGATATTTGTATTTACAAGCTGTTTTAATTTAGTGAATACCGTGTAATAAAAGCCAAGTTTTGGTCGTAAATTGATTTAAGGACGTACTAGTTCGTAATGACAATTCTTTGATAAACTTGTATTTCGTGTAGGAGCGAGGCAAACCAAAGCAAACCAGAGCAGTGCTTTTCCAAAAGCACGTCCGTGTGCCATTTTAATTTCCACAATGCTAAGAACACAAACCGTGAACTTTATTTACTTATTTCATATCCTTAGATCAATTTTCCTGTAACCGCTTGACATTATTTTTCAACTCTCTGTTGGCCGTCGTGGTTTTAAACAAAAGCGAATGACCCATTCAATTGTAAGGGTTGACCTGAGGCAAATTAAGTTTAATCAAAGCAGCCTCCATTGTAACAAAAGACATGGCAGATAAGTTAGGTCCATGCAGCGCTAAATGACGACGATTGATTAGTTTGGCATGCGAGACAAAAGCGAAACGTGCGACTTAGATTTTGGGATTTGTCTTTGAGGTAATCTTGCTTGCCGAAGAATTAAGTCTGCGAACTTTAGGAATTTGAAATCCCCCACATGTTTTCCCAAGTAATTGTGTTGTTTCTTAGGATAACAATGTTGATTTGTCGACAAAGCTTAATTATCGCGGAAAAGAGATCAAATTTCAGAGCGAAAACTTATGAACCCGTTCAAAATACAAAAATGTTTAATTTTTGGAGTAATTTGGAAACAGCTCTTTTGAGTCTAAGCTAAACGTCAAGACACTAAAAATTGACTTTACAAGCTGAGCACTTGGAAAGCATAACCTAAAAACATCGAAGTTAGTGTTCGTTGTAACCCAAAAACCCTATTTGAAATCGATATAAATTCCCAAAGAAAGAATTTGACTGGTGATGAAACTAAATGAAATGTTATCGGGCGATATTGGCAATCTTATATTTGTTTTACAAATCTTGTCAATAGTAGACGAGTTTTTTGTTCTCACTTCGTCAATCTCTTCCAAAGGTGCGTAGTATTTCTAATGACGGCGATTTTTCAGCCCTTTTCTGAACAAAGTTTGAGTGACAAGTGCCAAGAACGGAGATGAGTGTATGGCTATAAACACCTTTGGTGTTAATCGATGTCATTTCAAATGAAAACTTAAGCTTTCGGGAACGAGCGAACAACAGGAGAAAGAGATGTTTGTTTCCATGAAATTCTAGCGCGTTTTAGACGTCATATTACAGCAAAATTAGCAAAATAGAGAAAGAAGAGTTGATTGACATGTTGCGAAGTTCAGCTTTGTCCACCACCGCGCCAAAATAAAGTACCTTATATGCAATAAAAATGTCTGATTACAGTGGCTGTCAGATTATGTGATAACTTTAAAGCTTCTATCTAAACCGGAGTTACTTCTGGTGCAGTCCGATCGAAACTCATCCTTGGTGAGGTCATGTTTAGGAAGGGTTGAATTACCGAAATACCTTCACGAAATACAAATATACGCTAAAAAAGTTGTGCTCTGAATGATCTAGCTTCAGTCATCACGGAACCCTCAGAACTTGGCACAGACTAAGTGAAGGAACAATGAAGTGATGCTACGCTTTAAACTAGCGTGTTCTGGTTATAATACCCTTGACAGGATTAGAACATAAAGTAGAGATATAAAATAGGTCATATGTAAGTCAATTCTTTTGAAAACGAACCAAAACATAGCGCCTCGAAGTTATAGCTCTTGACTGCCTCTATCATTGCAAAGTATTTTCAGCAGCACAGTACATTACTGTTAGTAAATCGTGCCTGGTTAAGTTTTCTCGCACAAAACTTGAAATACAACTTTTTTTTTGGTCCAAAAATCATATCCACAACAGAAGATGTAAAAGTGTTTAATTATGTTTGGGTGGGGAGATCTTATCGTCGTTTCCTCAATCCCAGTTCATCATTTATCTCAGACTTAAAAAAAAAACCTTTTACCGAGGCTTTTAACAGACGCAATATTATGTATCTGACACGAGATTGTTTCAGGTCAGATAGAAATATCACAACACACTTTCATTTACCTTCCAGGTTTATCACTGCTTTCAGTTCTAAGTATCAATTTAAATGAGTAGCTTGGACTAATATCTCGCGCTTCAAGAACTATATGGAGTTTTTTTTTTTTTTTTTCACTTTTTCGCATCAACGTAACGCGGTTTATTTAGAACAAAGCCTACAGCTTCGGCCTTGGAGAGCTCCTTTGACCCTGACATCCAAGTAGTAAAGATAAAATCACATGATAATGATGTGTTTTACGAGATATCTGTCATAGCTTGATTAAAGGGTAATACAGGATTTTATGTAAGTACTATTTTGGTTATTGCAATCTGTTTTGAATTAGACAGTATTAATTCGTCTGAGAATTTGGAAAGTGTATAACCCCATGCACAGTTTCAAGGGAGGCGAAAAAATTCCAAGGATTCCGCCAAAACTACGGCAATTTCTTGAAAACATCTTCGCGGTTTTTCAGTTTTAAGGCGGTTTTAGAACACGGACAGACGAGAGAAACGAATATGTTGTTAGCAAAAAAATTATCTGAACCTTTTTTGGTTCAGTTAGGCTTTTTTTAGATTTTTTGAGGATGTATTTGCGTTATGAGTTTTAACATGATGGCCTCTTTTCAGAGCAAGCGAAAGATGTCAAAGATATTAGCTGTTTTTCACTCTTTCGGAAGCAAAACATCCTTAAGCATTGGCGAAGGCATATCAATATATTGATAGATGTAAAATGTTTGTGTTTATTCCGCAGCTGTTCTTGTATATGTGGAGAGCGGCACATCACATCACGCAAGCTTGCCGCGGTTTAGTTTTCTTTCGATTCCGAACGCAACAATATCATTTGTGGTTTCTTTATATCTGAGTTCAGTTATTCTTTTCTATTTTTCTTCTAGAAATGCAATTTAACATATACAGCTACAAGTTTGTTTTCATATGACCACACGCTGACTCTTATTTTAGCTTCGTGGTTTTACCTTTATTACATGTCGATGCGGCCAGCTTTAAGCTCAATAAAATATGTCAGACGATTATTTCCGAATTCAAGATAATAAAAGTAATTTGTGAATGAATTGAGACAATAACTTCAATCATGATTTCCTATATTCTTGTCTGTCGACCGCAGCGTTGCGGTTTTCTCGTAGTGCCCTGTGGAAACGCGCTTTCTTGGAAATTTCCTTTTATAGCCATGCAATACATTTTTCTTCGTCGGAAAGACTGTTTATACAGTGACTGCCTTGTTGTCCAAGCTTCCAGACAGTATAACCGCCTCGTATTATTGATTTCCTCGGTTTTTATTGTACAAGCTTCATCACACCTCTCTCGGAAGTAGTTGTCGATGTACCCACTTGAATAGGTGTAAAATAAGGTATCAAAAGGAAACCAACAACAGGAAACCCACCAGGACAGATGACTTGTTTTTCTGTCTCACGCGAAAAAGAAACCCGAGAAAAACAAGGCGTATTTGTGTATTTACGGTTTTTGGATTTGTCTGAAAATCAAAACGCTCAGAAGAAAGCATCTGTTTTTGTCGTCAACTCATCGATGGGGCGTGCATTTGTAGACAGCAATATATCCTTTTTCCTCTGAAATGCCATTCATTGTCTTAAGCTTTGTTTGTGCCTCCCGCGTTCGGTTTTCAACACTAGAGGCTAATTGAATTAATCACTGCAGTCATGTGATGAATAGTTTGCATTCATGCACATCACAGAGTGAAATATACACTGAATATATGACACGGCCGAAAATCGGCCTGGAAAATGGTACATCACAGTTTAAATCACTTGTAGGATATTCAGGGATCATGACTGACTTTTTCAAGAAATTGCGTGTTCATGATTCTGGGCACACAACCATTTAAAATGACCTTTGTTGTTCACGATAAGCTACCTGTTTTTGAGAAGTTGTGAATGCAGTGTTTTGGTGATATTTACTGACGTTAAACTTGAGTGTTTTTGACGCACACCGTGATAAGTTGTTTGCGTGAAAAACAAAAAACAAAAAAGACGTTCAAGTGCGAGAAGAGGTTCTGCGTATATGACAGCCGTCAAACATGCACTCTACCTACCCACTCCCCACCTCTCCCTCCCATCAGTGCCTCTCTTTCCTTCCAATGTTTCTGTTGCTTGTAGTCTTTTGGGTTCTTCTGCTAATTCAGTTTTCAACTGTGATAGCACAACAACAACCTCTATTTGTGCTCATAGTTAAATTTATACATAGAAAAAAGAAAATAGAGGAATAGAGGAGTAACGCTATCATGTTGTTCAACTCATACTCAACGTTCTTGGAGTTCATTATTATCTCGCACCTGTAGTTAGCTTTTCTTGAGTAAAACGTTCGTCTGAACTACTGCAAGATGACTGATTTTCGTTAACACACGGCTAACATCTTCCCACACAGGAAGACTGTACATGAACTAATTTCTTATGTGTCTCTCCATTCCCTTCCCGGCTTTCTTCTATTGTCTGATCGATCGCACCTGTTAAAGTTCCCATTTTGCCACCCAGGCAGTGATAACCAGATCTTATTACCATCTTTCTCGGGGTTGAGATAATGTGTAGATAAAACGCTTCTTAGTATTCAAATCGCGTGTTAAACTCTGCCGTATTTTTGTTGTTTATCTTTGTGCTCAGTTGGGTTTTCTTAAGAGTCCTTGACAAGCCATTTCCGTAGATGCTTATAACTTTTCTTACAATATCGTCAAGTAATATTGGCAGCATATGATAAGCACTTCGCCGATACGGCTTTCAGTTCTGCTAGCACTTGACGTTTATTCTAATCATTCAGCTTATTTTCGTTGCAGATTTGACAATGATAACAGTATACTTTACGTTCTTCCGATGTCTAAAATTCACATCGTATGTCCAAACCCGACCACCATCATGAAAAAAGTAAAAGCCAACACGTCCAGGGACAAACTCTACCAGAACCTGTGGATCGTGTCACGCGAGAACTATGAGCGTTGTAACACGGACTATACCCAGGGGAGTAGGCTGCTCCTGCGGTGCATCTACCCCCTGACACTGAAGTATTACACTTTGGTGTTTCAGAGGTACAGTGCCCTCTCCAGTCAAGTTTTCATTCCAGGAAAAGAATATTATTTTATTGGTATGTATGTCACAGTCACGCAGCCCTTCTCCAATGGTAAAACATAAGTGTTTTTTAGTCTTGTTTTGCGTACATGTAGTTTAAACCTTACAAATGAATCTTATTTTGAATCGCTCTGTTTTCAGTAGCTTTCTTTTAGCTCTTCCGAGCAAGTTTGGCTGAGCTAACAGAGTAAGTTTTTCTCTTTGGAAATTGCAGCCACTTCCGATGGTTCCCGAGCATCAGTTAACAGTCGATCAGGAGGAAACTGCAAGAACAAGAACATGAAACTACGGATATTTGTGTGTAAAGATGCTCAAGGTAAGAAATCCTTCCAAATGGATGGTTTAAGCTACAAACCATATTTTCGTTCACTATTTTTTAAAGAACAAAGTTAACATTAAGGAACTCATTGAAAACTTGATCTTCTGAGCGCTGTCACTGAGGCACATACCCTTTGTGAAAACAACACCGTTAAAGTAAATGGGCATGTCTTACAGCCCGATTACAGCCCCAGTAGCTCAAAGGCTAGACAACACCATCCACTGGATAAATCGCTAGCGATTTATCCGGTGGATAGCGTTATCCACCCTTTGAACAACTGGCTCCAGGTGAGGGGAGCGTTACTTGACCAGGATTAACTCTTGCACATCCGGTTTGTCTAAAGTCCACTTACAATTCATGTACCACGTAAGTCACACTTATGTCGTTAATACCAGTAACTCTACTTTCTTTTGAAAGATCCCCGCTGCAACCGAAAGCTTACAACCACAGCTACAGAGACGACAACCACTGCTCCAACGACACAATCATTAACGCCATCTACAACTGCCAACTCGACGGCTCTACACTTTACAAATTCAACTGCAACGACACAAGCGCCAACTGAGAAAAGCACGTGGTCAACGGCATCATCAACCAGTGAATCAACTACTGAATCAACCAGCGCGGCGGTCACGTGGACAACACAAGCGGTCACCTGGACAACACAGGCTCTGATGACGTCTGTGTCGTCAGTCATCCCAGTGAGATCTATGCAAAGAAGTCCTTTAAATGCAGGTAAATAACGGTGGCGGTAACCCTATGAAAGACTAAAAGTAATCTCCTTTTTTGCGGAAACGAACTAAATTGAGTACATTTATTCAAGTAACTTACACGAGATGACTTTCTGTTGGCTTGGCTTCTGTTCCCTTGGGGAGGCTTGGACCAGCAACGATCCGCCCCAGAGAGGTGTCTACCTTAGCTTAATTGGTGGGCGTTGCTGAAGTATGAATACGCCTTAGAGAAATGTGCGCACGCTTTAGAATAAGGAGCGACTTCAGATAACTGTTAATATGCTTTAGCGAATTATGCGCGTGAAGACTGTGAAGAGTTTAGTGAACACCATTAAACGCGTGCCCCTCATTTTAGATTATTCGCCTTGGATAAGCTGGCAACTTTTCACACTCTTTTATTCTGTAGTTTCAGATCTCAACTGGACAATCGTGATTCCTTTAATGGCCTGTCTTCTTGTCTCACTTATGGTGAACATCATCTTATTTTGCCGTCTGAAAAAACGGAAGCATGAGTACAGTCTCGAGGAGAAGCCTGGACAACAGATAATTGAAGGTGCTGTAGTGAAGTCGTCAGAAAAGCAGAAAATTGAGCCAGGTGTTGACAGAACGTGGTTATTATGCAGAAGATCAGCGGACGTAACCGAAGTTTAAGGTGATGTTTTGAAGTAAAAGTGAAGACGACGGAACAGAAAGCTGCGCTTCAGGCCGTGAACCGGCGGACCTCGTGCAAATGCACCAGAACTTGGTGCACCAGAAGTCAACTTATGGTTGATATCCTGGGAAAGAGGAACAGCGCTTACATTGTTTGTTTGTTCGTCCGTTTAACTGGCATTTTCGTAACGTTTATACGTTATAATCGTTTGTAGTTTGACTAGTAAGTTATTCCTAAATGGATATAAGGACAGATGTCATTACACTAAATTATTTCTGATCGAACAACTAAACGAAAGCGTTCAGTTCGTTGAGCGATTCCATACACCTGCTGTGTTTCTTACCGCGGTTTTGTTTTAAAAAACATTGTGTTACAAAAGTGGGCGTTCCTGCCTGTTTTCATCCAATTTGTCACTCTAGAACCCTCAGGAGACTGAGTACCACCCTTGGGCAAAAAGCTTGCTGGGATTGTTTGGGTAGTAATCGACCAATCTCAGCTCATGCTGGTTACCCACTCGACCCCAGAAGTCATAGCGCCCAAGACTGGCGTTCATTCCCTCTGAGGATTCTTGTTTGGTGACCGTGCATTTCTTTCGATGAAAGAACTCGGGCATTGCTTTCTTATGAAGGAAATTTGAAACAGGTATCAAGTTAGGGAAACGGATTTACTCATGGTGTTCTTAAGATACTATTTTTACTAGCAAAAGTAGTTCAGTTTTTGCAGGTTATTAGGAAACAAAACTTATTTCAGAAAATATCGCATGATCATTGCAACAAACTAATCAAAATTTCTTGAAAAATGAACATGTGACAAAAGAATATTGATTTAATGCAATTTAAAGCAATCAAAAATCAAGAACAAATTAAAATGTTTATTTAAGAAGGAACGAACGCGGTGGTAATAACGACCTGACAAAATCCTTAGAAAAAAGCAACACTTAGTTAGCTGGCGTCCTCACTAGGGCCATTAGCTTGTTGCTGACCGAAAAACAAGCGAAGTCATTAGAGTTGTGTGTCTCATTCTAAAGGCTGGATGGTGTTTCCTTTTGCGTTCGATTCGGTGATTCAAAAACACTTGAATAAATCGTTGCCTTCGTTAATCTTGTCATTTGTTATTATTTTGTATAAAACTATACACATATTTGAAAACAGATAGTCTATTATAATGTTGTAAATAATCTATTTAATAAGATGAATATTTTGAAGCCCGACATTGACTTTGAATAAACTTAATATGACTAGACATTTGCACTTGGCAAAATAAAGTTTAGCACTGGTTTTATAGATCTTTATATTGGCTGGTTTTATACTGTGTCACTCAAAGCACGGTAGATATGGCTTGAATAAAGGTAAAGGTAGGTAAATTCTGCGTACGAGCCAAGTGGCCCATCAGGCCGGAGCTCATCCCGGTTTCTGTAGCATGAAGCGACTGGGAGTATTTCTACTCCCCCCTGGATGGAATGCTGGTCCATCGCAGGGTTACCCCCAACGTTAAGTTCGCCAGTGCCTATTTATGCGCCTGGGTGGAGAGAGGCACTGTGAGAGTAAATTGTCTTGCCCAAGAACACAACACAATGTTCCCGGCCAGGGCCGCTCGATCCGGAGACGAGCGCACTAACCATGAGGCCACCGAAAGTTATGAGAAATTTAAGTAGTTTCTTCCCAGTTTAGCAGTTCTGAATTTGCGGGGTAAGTCAATTTATTATATCTCTCAGTTAGTACGGGCGCTGTGATTGGTCAATTTAGCGGACCGTACTGTCCTGTACGGCCCGCTAAAATTTAAAGTTGGTTTTGTTGCCAAACTGTTTCGTGATTTATCGCTAAGTGGTCTTTAGTAGTGAAAGTTTATAACTTTCTTATACTCTAAGTTGTGTAAAAAGCGTGCTAACGACTTAAAAACAATTTCAAACTGACTCGTTTTGCTTTCGAAGTGTGTGAGAAATTTGAAGCTCTTCCGAGTCCGCGTGAATAGAAATCGTTTCCGAACCCGTCAGGATCACAGTAGAGATCTAATAAATATCTTACTAACCTCGTCTCCTCGGTCCGTAACTTACAGTGCGGACCGAGGAGACGAGGTTAGTAAGAGGTATATGTAGTCAACGAGTTAACAAAATAAAGGAAGTGGTAGATGAACCTAATGTTCATAATGAGTTAAACCAACATACAAGTAAGGGCCCGTTTACAAGAAGGGAGGGTTGCCCTAGCAAGCGGGTTGACCCTAGCTCGAGGGCAAAAGATAACCCGGGTTTACAAGCAAAATTTCACAGGTA